GGACACCAAAATTAAAGCTATTAAAGCAGCTTGGGTATCTAAACTTTTACAAAATAAGAGCAATCTAAGTAAGCTTTTAAATGCAGTTTTAGCAACTCATAAGATGAATATCCAATATATTGCAGAGTCAAATGTAACAAAATTTTCTGACTTCAATAGTCTGAAAGGGCTTTCACAATTCTACAAAGAGGTTTTTACTGCCTTTAATGAATGCAAGACTTTAAATAACAATGAAACAATAGACAAAATTTTACGACAAAATATTTGGTTTAATACAAACTTTAGATACAAAGGGAAAATCTTGTATTTTCAGAACTGGTACGAAAGCGGCTTTCATTATGTGAAAGATCTTGTTAGTGATACTGGTTTTAAATCGCTTAATGAAATAGCTGAAATACTAAAGTCAAAACGAAACTATCTTTGTGAATATTTAATATTAAAAAACGTTTTTTATTCTAAAATATATGGCGATACAAGTATGGGAAAATATATTAATATCAACAAAGAGTTTCACTTTAAATTACAAGGAAAAATAGAAGATATAAGTAAAACAAAATCTAGCTTCTTTTACAAAATCTGAATATATAACAAGTCCGAAAAGCCTATCATGGAAAGTTTTTGGGAAAAGGAATTTAGCGATATAAACCCACTGTGTTGGCGAAAAATATATGAAGAAAAAATTGTAAAAATTAATGACAAAAATATTGCCGAATTCAATTTTAAACTACTGCACAATATGTTACCAAATAACTTGTATCTTAGTAAATGGAATAAAAATATTGAAAAATATTGTTCTCATTGTCAAGAAATAGAAAATACAAAACATATGCTTTTTGACTGTATACTTATAGAAAATATTTGGAAACGAGTGTCTGTTGTACTTAAAGTTAATATTGTTTGGAAACATCTTGTATTGGGTTTTAGTTACTATGGAAACCAAACAAGCACAGTTTTGAATAATGTTGTTTCTTTCATAGCATTTAAAATTTTTAAATATAAGATGAAATGTAAAATATTAGAAGAAGATATAACAAGTGATGGGATTAATTTATTTTTGAAGTCATCGCTTGCTAACTTTTACTTTGTTAATCGGCAAGCACAAACTATCAAATTTGATTATTGTATGCTAAAAACTCTGTCTGAAAATTTGTAAATTATTAGGGTCTTCCGCTTCCTTCGGAAGACCCTACTGTTATTCTACTGTTTCTTATTATTATTTTATTTTTTTTTTCCCGCTCGATTTTTGACAGGCGATTTCTCAAAGACCTTTGGACTGATTTTTATGAAACTTTCAGGTTAGATACCTTGTAATTAAACCTATTTACACCTGTTTTCAATTTTTTGATGCATGCCTTTAATTGTGAGTTATTGCCCTTTAATTGAAAATTTTGATGTCTCGTTTCCACTAAAAATCTCAAGAACGACGTAAGATATTTACACGAAAGTTGGAGAACTTGTAGCCAATACATTGTAGATGTGCAGAACGATAAAATTATAAGCTGATTTCCTAAAGTTTGGAAGCTATAAAACGGCAAATTTTAGTAATTTTTTTTCTTGAATTTTTGCTACTTTTTGTGTCATAACTTTTGAACCGAGAATAATTTGGTAAGAAATATATAACAAAAGTTGTGTGTAATTACGAGAGCTTTCATATTAGATTAATTAAAAGGGGCTGGCCCCTATAATTAGGGGGTTAATAGCTCATACACGTTTTTTTCTGATAGCTAAAATATTGGTATATTATGAAAAAGTTTGACTGAAATAATTTCGAACTTATTAAATCTTGTCATTTGATATAAAAACAAATAAACTTCCAGCTATATTTAATTGTTTTTTATATAAAACAAGTATGTGAGAAACCTTTCAGGAACAAGTTGTCTACTATAGCCAGCCAAGCCTTTACTGCATGTGCACATTTTTAGTTGATGCATCTAAAAGATATAGTTTTGATTCGGTGTTTCTTTGTTTTCTTTTTATTCAAATAATTTTAAAATGTGATGATGTACACAACAATAATTAGTACCTAGTTTAGAGGATTTTTGTTTGTAAACAACGCGCGGCATTGTGGGAAATAGGAAGGTACTAAAGACGCGATGTACTAAACACTGATTTGACCTGATTCAAATTTGTCTGTGAATGTTCCAAACAATTGAATTTTTGCATAGCATATGCCTCGAAGTCATAAAGTCTGTATATAAGTAAGTTAAAATACTCAATATTACCATTTAATTAAAAAATTAAAACGTCAGGTAAATATCAGGTCTCTAGTATATCCCGTTTTTAGTGTGCCCCTTCGAGTCGATGTCGGACACATGTTTACAAACTGAAAATAGAATGATTTGTGAAGTTGAACGTTTTCTCACCAAAGAATACGTATGTAGACATGCACACTCATTTAATCTGCAGCTACGAAGTACTTTGTCACTCCTCTGGAACATTATTCTAAGCAGAATTATTCAGATTCATATATTCTAAGAAACTTGTGTGAATTGTTTACGAGGAAATTCCAACTGTCACATTAACAAGGATGAGCACTCTTGACTCTGCTTGGGATTTCCTAGTGATAATTGCATCGAGTGATGAAAGAGCTGACGGCGACATTTTAATGTATGATTGGCTTGGACCATTGGATTGAAGGTTAGAATATTTTTTTATTAGGCCAAAATAAAAAATACTCCTGTTTCCTGTCACCCGACCTACCCTACATTTTACCCTCCGACCCTAAAAGTTTTTATTACATTTTCATTTTTTGGATAACTATTTTTCTAAAATACTGAAGTTGACCAATGATATTTACAGAATTAATACATCACAAGTGTACAGGTTACCTCTACTTTATAAATCTTGATTAACAAACTTGCTTTGAAACTGTTAACATATCATTTTCTTGTTATTTCAGTTATTACATGCTATATGTTCTGCATTCATTAAATTTTGAAAATAAAATTTTTTCTCAAAATAAAATTTTTTCCCTACCTACCGACCCTAATTTTTTTGGTCAGGGGACAGGATACAAGCGTATATTTTATTTTGGCCTTACTTAAAATACATGACAGTGACATACATTGATATTATTAGAAATACACAGACACACCGATATATTATCTGTTTTACAGTTCAGACGCTCCCTGTTTGGCTTGTAAATCCCCACAGCTTTATATTATACTTTTTTTTTAATTTGAGAATGTAATTTCAACAAGTCTTACTCACTCAGTCACTGTTACTTTCAAAACCAAAAATGCAAAAATTCCAACACAACAGTCCTACTATCTATCATAGTGATCATACCCTATAATTCAAACTGCACTTAGTGTTACAGAATATATTCAACTAATTATATATTGACAGTGTGACTGTTAGGGTGAAGGCAGATACTTATTTAGTTTTAATTTAGATTGTGCTTGTCAAGCCGCATTTGACATAATGGTGCTTCCATGCACAGTGTTCACACTGAGAGTTTATTCAAATGTTTAATTCGAATGATTTCACTGCTCGTTAAATTACTTCCCATTAGCTCCATGTGAACATGACTAAGGATAGCTAATTCAAATTAAATAGAAATGAATTTCAGGGTTGCAAATAACATTTAAACCTTAGGGGCCATGTGGGCCCCCAACTTCACAAATTTAACTAGCCCACATTGATTTTATGGGGCCTACAATTTTTTTCACTTTGTAAAAAATCTTTTCATATGAAAATGAAAACATAAGAGAAAAATACTTTATGGCCATAGTATTTCATTATTTCTTTTCAAATTTTTCTTGCAGACTTTTACACTACTAAATGTATGAAATTCCATGTCATCATTCAATTCAAGTTTGCTTCTTTTGATTTCAGTTGTTTCAGGGCATGTATTTTGAATTAAGCTTAAAAATTTTTTTGATTCTTGTAACATTCCAAAATAACCAAGGGTCGGTATGTCATTTTTTTTAAATAAATAAAGGAGCCAAACACACCTGGACTGAATTAACCAGGTGTTATATTTACAGTGGACACCCAACATGGCTGCCTATAGCGGCAGAAAAAGAATGGGGAAATTCTTGTTACAATAATGATTACTCTTTAAATTTAAGATAAACGTTGACTAGATTGACATATTTTGTATCTCAAATAAAGCTACAATTAATATTTGTTGAAAAATGGAATCAACTGAATGATCAAACACAGAAAAATCTGCCTGGTATATGAAAACGAAAGTACATTGAATAGTTGAACTAAACTACGATCTGAATCTGGAAAAGGTCCGATAAAATTCTTACTCGCCATGTGGGCGATAATATTCTCAAGAGCTGGTCGCCCACAGGAAAATTTACTCGCATTTGCGAGTGGGCGAGTGGTTATTTGCAACCCTGAATTTTGAATGTAGCTTAAACATGTTAAAGAAGCTAAGCACTGTGGGTCCAAAGTATACTGCGGAAAAATTGTGTGGAGCAATGTGCAAGTCAAATCTTCTTTTGCCGAGGTGTTATCATAAGAGCTCGCATTATGGGCAGGGATTTGTGCTGCTGTCTGGACTCGCTATAAATAGATGTTTTCAAAAAGTCTGAATTTTTTTAATATCATACTTTACTGACAAAAAAGGACAAATATTGCTCAGTTAAATTGCAAAAGAAATTTGTTTAAAAAAAATTGTAATAATAGAAAGTTTGCTTTTTTGTTTGATAAGACTGCTGTAATGGTTTAATGTTTGTTTATTTGCCTTAATCATACATTTTCAGTCATTTCATGGTGCCACCACTTGGGATGGTATTAGCTGCAAATATAGACTTGTACTTAGCACTTATTGCCTTTAAGAAGTATGAGATCCATTTTGTGCTAACACCTACCATGACACAGAATCTTGGTTTATGCAGTCTCATAGGAGTAACCTGTCTAAAGCATTTAGCAATGGGATTGGAGCCTGAGACGTAAGGTTCAATTTCTTATTGATACTTTGATTGATAATATTTATTTGAGAATTTCACTTATTCACATACTTAGAGATGTTGATATATACTGTTGAATAGCATCACATAGACCTTTACTTAGCTAACTTAAGTAAACATGTACTGTGAGGTTTTTAAGGTCTCATTCATTTTATATGCCGGATGCATGTTAAGGAACATTACTGCATAAATGTTTTTGTCTTAAATTTGAAGCTCTTTACTAATGCCCTGTTCACACGGAGAGTTTAATTCGAATTAAACATAAGTTTACTGTGAATCAGCTTCGCTTAGCGTTCACACGGAGAATTTAATGCGAATTAGTTTACTTCGCATTATTTTACTGCGCATTAAATTACTTCGCATTAGCTCCGTGTGAACGCTAAGCGAAGCTAATTCGAATTAAATTTTGGGGCATGCGTAATGGCAAAATTAAGTAAAATGCGTCATGTCGGTGGTCAGCTTGAAGTGCTTGTGCTATTTTTGTGTGAAAATTTAAGAAAAAATGTGTTAATCACTAAAATATGTCTCCAGACACTGTGACATTATGTCAAATGCATCTGCTTCTGCATAAGGTGACGTGATTTGCAAATGACGTCATAATAGCCTTCCTCACGCCTGACTGTCGAAGTAAAATTTTAATTCGCATTAGTTTACTTCGCATTAGCTGTCGTGTGAACGCAATTTAATTCGCATTAGTTTGATTCGCATTAGTTTACTTCGCATTAATTTACTGCGAATTAAATTCTCCGTGTGAACAGGGCATTATATAGAGATATGTTACCATATAGTGTTAAACGTCTTCAAATTAGGGTAGACCTTTACTTTAAACTCAGCAATGTGAGTGTGTTGTGTGAACTTGTGTTAGCAAGACAGTGTGTTGTATTAAATTGTGTTAGTCTGACAGTGGGTTGTGTGAATACTTGTTAGCTGTTGCGTAAATTAGTGTAAGCGAGACAGCGTGTTGTGTGAAATCGTGTATAAAGTGTAAGTGTGACAGTGTGTTGTGTAAACTCGTGTTAGCTAGACAGAGTGTTGATTGAACTCGTATTAGCGAGACTTCGTGTTGTGTAAACTTGTGTTAGTGAGACTGCGTGTTGTGTAAACTCGGGTTAGCGAGACTGCGTGTTGTGTAAACTCATGTTAGCGAGACAGCGTGTTGTGTGAACTCTTATTAACGAACAGCATGTTGTGTGAATTTGTGCTAGCGTGTCAGTGTGTTGTGTGAACTTGTGTTATCCTGAAAATTTGTCGTGTGAACTGGTGTTAGAGAGACAGTGTGTTGTGTGAACTTGTGTTAGCGATATTGCATATTGTGTGAACTCTTGTTAGCGAGACTGTGTGTTATGTAAACTCGTGTTAGAGAGACAGCGTGTTGTGTGAACTCGTGTTAGCGATATTGCATGTATTTTGAATTTGTGTTAGCGTGACAGTGTGTTGTGTAAACTCGTGTTAGCCTGACAGTGTGTTTTGTAAAATGGTATTAAGATTACAGTGTGTTGTGTGAAATGGTATTAGGATGACAGTGTGTTATCGCAACAGCGTTTGGTGCGAACTTGTGTAAGTGAATAGTGAGACAGCCTGTTTTGTGAATTTGTGTTAGCGTGACAGTGTGTTGTGTGAACTCGTGTTAGCCTGACAGTGTGTTGTGTGAAATGGTATTAGGATGACAGTGTGTTGTGTGAAAATGGTTTTAGGATGACAGTGTGTTATCGCAACAGCGTTTGGTGCGAACTTGTGTTAGTGAATAGTGAGACAGCCTGTTTTGTGACTTTGTGTTAGCGTGACAGTGTATTGTGTGAACTCGTGTTAGCGTGACAGTGTATTGTGTAATTTCATGTTAGTGAGATTGCGTGTTGTGTAAACTCATGTTAGCGTGACAGTGTGTTGTGTGAATTCATCTAAGCGTGACAGTGTGTTGTGTGAACTTGTGTTAGCTAGACAGTGTGTTGTATGAACTCATATTAGCGAGACTGCGTGTTGTGTAAACTTGTGTTAGCCAGACAGCGTGTTGTGTGAACTTGTGTTAGCAAGACAGCGTGTTTGTGAATTCGTGTTAGCATGATAGTGTGTTGTGTGAACTTGTGTTAGCCTGATATTTTGTTGTGTGAAATTGTATTAGCGTCACAGTGTGTTGTGTGTTAGTGTGACAGCGTGTGGTGCAAACTTGTGTTAGTGCGAAAGTGTTTTTCAGTGTTGTGATGGCGAGCTGTGTGATAGCCTAATGGCATCTTTTGTGTCAGTAAGATGGCACGTTTTTATGAAAGTGCTATTGAGCTTTAGCAAGTGGCCCTATCTGGACACACCTTATTATGATTGATCAGTTCTCAGATATACAGTGAATTACCGGTATTATTGTCAACATGAAATCAGCATTTACAGTTGCAATTACCTAGTTAGTAATCATAAGATATTGGTTTGCCAGTTATTAAAATTATGGTGTTCCAATGATGTGAAGTTGCAGTGTGTTAGCATGTTAATTTCAACAGACTGCCACTCCAATGCAGCTTTAAACAACAGGCTGCTGTGTTAACACAAAACAAAATATCATGCAAACACAACTCTAAACAATCTGTTGAGTGTTAGCTTCACTGCGTGTTGGATTCAGTGTGCTGGCATATTATCACTGACGTACATGCTAGCACATTGTCACCTCGTGCTAGTATGTTGTCATAAATACTCTAGCACATTATCCTAGACCCGCTAGTGCATTATTACTTTGCACTTGTATGTTGTCTTATTAGGGAATAGCATAAATGACTGCCTTGATTGGTGTAAACTTCTTTTAATTGATGAAAGAGTACATTAAAATTTACAAATTATACAGGGAAAATGTGACAATATCTTAGAACTCAATTTTATAATCTAATTTATAATCTCATGAATTGCATGTTTTATTGATAAAAGAATTATAAATTAAAAAATTTCAATTTCTTTTTGATAGGTGTGACTCATCTGAATACTGAATTTTGATACCAAGCATGACCGTGATTTGCCAGAAGATCATCTGTTTGGATGTGACATGGAATAAACAGCATAGTGAAAATAAGTCAAGTTTTGGTTTGTGACGACAACTTTTAAACACACTGTGTATCATTTTTAAATTTTGATTTCACAACATAAATCCACAAATATGAGCATATCAATTGCTCTCGGTTTTTCAAGTGAAATAGTTTTTGTAACAGAAATACATGTACCAGTAATTACATTGGACAAAATGTTATTTTTAAATATAATAATATTTTGTTTGTGTTGCATGTTGACCTCTTTATTAAGGTCTTCCCTTTCAAAGTTTAGACTTACTTATTCTAATGATTTAGATAGATCCTCTGTCTTCAGCAGGAATATAAGATCTTGTAATACATGTATGTGTATTTTTACAGTATAATGTAAAAAAAAAATTATTTTGGCACATACAATTAAATAAAGTCATATACATGTGTATGATTCCAAGGAATTCAATACATAGGGCATGTACATGTAGTTTTCTAAAACAAGATTAAAGAGATGTCCAGTCACATTTCAATGTCAACTGCAAAACTGTGCCTGTTGCATACTTATTAGCCCATCTGAGCTAAAGGAACAAGTAAATTTTTTAAAAACATAATTTTATCCATTATCATCATTGTCTAAAATTTCACAATATCATTTTCCAGAACCAAAGTGAAACTTGGCATAGAGCATCCTTAGTGTAGGGGATTCAAATTGTTCTTATGCAGGGCAATACTTTCAAAGAGATTTGTTTCTTTAATGCTGTAAATGTATTATATTTAGCATGTACAATATTTGGTGGAAATTGACTTTTGAATAAGTTAGCGTAGATATTCTTATTTATATTTATGTACAAAACTTTTAGCTTTGTACTTGATTTAGTGATTGCTGCATTCCGCAAAAGCCGCTAAAAAAAGAATACGCAGCCATATGTAATATGTTTACAATAAACCTTTCAGAGAATTTTACACTCCTATTGAGGTACCACCAGTTGCTAGTGGAAAGCTGCAAATTCGAAATATACACAACACATTTCTGTGCGTTTATTATAAAAGTATTGTTCTACTTACTGATTGCAACTAATGAAGATTGTTCATCATTATTGTAAATACATTTGGATTTTTTGATTTATTATATAAAAATTTGTTTATTTTATTTACCTAGTTATATTGTATATTAAATGATTTTTAAGCCATTTTTAAGATGGTAATGTAGCAAAACACTTATGTTTCTGTAGTATGACACGTTTCACAAACATAATTGTAACAAAGATGATATATCCGATATCAAAAGTCATAATATTGGAAGTTTAACTGTTGTGGATACGATTTCAAGAATGCTGTTAGAGAGAGTACCCTTTAGACCTCATGCTCACACCAAATTAAAGAATTCAAGTAAGGGTTTTTGAGACAAATCGAAAAAGAGAATGTTAGCAAAGTTGACAATCTAGACAGAAACATTTAATCTTTTGCTGATCGCTTGGAAGGAAGACCCACTCGTTGCTTTGCAACGAGCTTTGCTCTAGTTATTTTTATTATTACTTATAATTATTTTTTTTATTCATCACTCACTACAGGATTAGCCAGTAATCTTGTATTTCGGAGGTAAATTTATGATATGGACTCTGTGGTTGTAAGGATTGTACCTCCGAATTCGTGAGTGGTCCATCGTCTTATTATATGACATATAAGAAAAAAATAAAATTCATATATATTATAGTAAGAATGTATGAAGTAACAATGAGTATTAATATTTTTTTTAAAGACACAATCCATATATATAACTATATGAATACCTTTAAAAATATTTTTGAATATACATAATTATATTCTTTGTATATTAATATACATATATGTATTAAATTTCCAATCAAGGGGGCCCCTGGCACCCCAGGTGAGGAATACATGGAGGACCTCTTAGGAGGTATTGCCTCAAAACTTGACTTGTATTTTTGTTGAATAAAAAAAAAAAAAATAATAATAATAATAATTTTTATAAATTATTGTATAATAATCATAAGTTATACAAGAGAACATAAATTATTTTAAAAAATAACCTACATTTATTTTAAGAAGTTCAGTGAAAGAACAAACTATTTAGAATTTCGATTTCAATGTCCATTACTGATTTAAAATAAAACTATCCTGTTTAAAAATTAAATAATTTTCTATAGGTATAGAATAAATACATGTATAAATTCTCGTCGTGTATAATTATATATTAAATTATAATCACTTAATAGATCAATGACATTAAAACGGTATTTAATAGTCTTGTTGATGTTTTGTGTTAAATTTGTAATCCAGCTACAAAGACATCTATAAAATAATGTTTAAAATATCAGAAAAATATTCATATAAAAAAACGTTTTGTTTTTTTTTAATTTCTTTTGAATTCAAATATGTTCGCTGATCCCTGTGTAGTAAACGTCTGCACTTTTCGCATGAAACTACAAAGGTCCTAAATGCACATGTATATTTAACAAAACAATTTTTCCCCTTCAAAGGCCATTGCTCTACATGTAGCTAAAGAAAAATCTATAAATTTTTACACTATTTTTTTTTCCTTAAGAACAACGGCTTTTTATGTGTAGTGCATGCTAAGCAGCTAAGGTAATCTATTAAAAGAATTAAGTGTGTAATTGTATTAATTAACTGTGCATTTTCTGTTGATGTCATTATATAAAGATGTGAAGGTTTTCAATGCAACTAGATTTCTTTATCTACGTTGTCAACTACAGTAACTTTATTTTTATTCTACATGCTGTAATAAATTACTCTTTTAAAAAAATATGCGTGTTCTTAAAATTGACAATACTCAAATTACAGGCTTTTAGGAAAGTAATTTCCGTTTGGGTAATAAACTTATCGGGAATTTCCCGAGCTTCCACGTAGTTTCCCGTAAAAGGAAACCTAAAGTTTCCATCAAGTTTCCATTCCACGAAAACCACTACGCTCCGATTCCATAAGGTTTCCTGTATCATGGAAACTTTAGGAATCGTGAGGTTTCCCGAACTTCCATGTAGTTTCCCGTAAAAGGAAACCTAAAGATTCCACTAAGTTTCCATTCCACGGAAACCACTACGCTCCGATTCCATCAAGTTTCCTGATTCTGGAAACCAGTAGAAATCTTCAGGTTTCCCATTACGGGAAACTACATCGATGTTCGGGAAACCTCAGGTTTACAGAGGTTTCCATGGTTCGGGATACCTTATGGAATCGGAGCGTAGTAGTTTCCGTGTCACGGAAACTTGGCGGAATAACCTAGCATCCGCTGCGGAAACCACCGGGAAACATGATGCAAACTTGAGATTTCCATGTGGTTTCCCATGATGGGAAACCGCTTTTTTCACCCAGTGGGGGGTATCATTTAGTCAGCTCATTGCTCACAATACCTCTAGTTTTATGATGATTTGGCAAGTAATGAAGATATCAAGCTAAAATTTTCAACATTTCTTTATCTTTTCTTGTTTTATGTTTCTTACAAATTTTGAAAACACAGACTACATAGTATTAATTGTATACCCTCAGTCCACGAACTTTTTGATAACCCCTCGTAGTGTCATTTTCAAAGGAGAAGGGAGAAAGAAAATTGCTTGTCGGAAATATTTCTTCGGGGATGGCTTTACATGGGGGTGCCGGTTAAACTTTTTTCTGACTGTAGGACTTAGGCAGGGCCAGCTGTTTAATCAGTTTATGATTATTCATAATAAAATATTGTCCAACTGAAACTTTCTTCTGAATCAATTTTTTTTAGTGCACCACAATCACAGGACTTGTCTCGGAAATAAATTTTTAACCCATAGTTTAATAGTATTTTTAACCCATAGTATAATAGAGTTACTATTAAACTATGGGTTAAAAATTTATTTCCGGAACAAGTGCTTGTGACTATTATACTATGGGTTAAAAATTGAATTTCCGAAACAAGTGCCTGTGACCACAATACTATGATCTGACTGGGGGGGGGGCAGCTTTTCAGAGAACACCCCCTCCCCCCACACACTCCTTAAACTTCCGACATTGATTGACAACAGAATGATTAAATTTCGAGAGCTTTTTGAATAGATTCTTGAATTATGCAAAGTCTTCATATTACATACATTACATTACCAGTTTTTAAATTTTTAAATCTGGGCAATGAGGTATAATGAAGTATATGCGTATGACAGTTTGATCATCAAACTTTTTTGGGTGAAAAGGATAGTGAAAAGAAATACAACTCTTACTAAATGAAATTTGCCTAGTAATAGCTAGAAAATCTCAGAGTGGGGGATTATAAGAAGTTGCGAATTTGAAAATCCATATGAAAATAAATCGAAAGAAAAAGGGAAGCATTTTGTTATATGATGGCAAAAAGAAATCAGTGCATGCACATATGCCTATATCAGTTCGTTCTTTTAGTATATTCATGTAAAAGAAATCATGCAGTTGTATCATTTGATTTTAATTTAAAAATAGCATACTGTACAGTTTTCGTATCTTCTTTTTTTATAGAGAGTACACAAAAAACTTTATAATCAACAATGTACATGTTTAATTTAAAACATAAAGTAAAAAAACCGCATGAATTTGTCATCATTATTTATCTTATCATGATTATGGGGTAAAAGTTTTAGTATTTACCACAATTTATATCTTAAAATATTTTATTGCAAAAAATAACAATTTATAACGTGTTTTGTAGAAAGATAGACAGTGTTTAAAACAATATACTTCGAAGCAGCTGCGTCTCTTAGTTTTTCCTATGAACGACTTGTCTTGAGCAGAATAATTTGACGTACGGCTTGACCAGTTGGCGGGAAAAACTGCAGAGTTGGAAAATTTTTGAAGATGTAGTTATGGTGTAATTTTATGCTTTTTATGGTAAAAATATTCAATCTATGTACATTATGAATATTGAATAGCATATTCAGTGAAATGATATAATAGCTAAGGTTTGTAAGCATGGGAATAGGACAACGTAAATTATGTAAACACTGTGAAACTAAAAATGGCGAAGTTTATCAGGTTGGGCACACACCCCCAAATGGTCATTAAACCCCCGTTTGGTGGTCAATCGCCCATATCGGCGTCTTTATTACCTACCAAATGGGAGAGAAAAATCGTTTTGTTCAGTTCTCTGGAATAACATGAAATGGCGCATAATTTCAACTCACGGGGAATAAAATATAGATATTTTTCTAAACTTTGAACAAAAAAAATCTGAATTTCAACGCGGACTTTTTTGCGCAGTGTCGTTCAAATATTTGACAAAATCGTCACCTATGTAAACAAGAGTAACTTTTCTGTGTTTTAACTTAAAAAGAAAAATCCCCTCCATCTCGCGCGTAGTTGAGCCTATCAATCGTGTTTATCACTTCATATTTCTGTCATCCGGGTAACCGATCAATTATCTTAACCAATTAAAAATGACGATCTTTTCCGAACTTGGGTCAAAAGACTGATTTCACTACGGAGGCCCATTAGTGTAAATTTTCAAAAAGTAAAATACGATGAAAGGTAAGAATTCTCTTTTATATCGTTTATTTCGTATATTATGGCTTTATTTTTTACAAAAATACGACATGCCGTGAATTTTTGATAAAATAATCGCTCAAAAACTCTAATCTTGGAATAGAAATAAGAATAATTGCAAATGTCACTTTGTAAATTTTTTATTCAAAAATGTTTAATATATATAGTAGATACATCATAGAAATGCATATGAAACCACAAAGGGTCGCACAGAAATCGTAACTTCATCCTAAAAGAAATAAAAAATAAATGTTACATTCAAATGTAGAAAAAATGAATATTATAGCAGTAAGTGCCCACCATACGAATACAATACGAGGAGCTCGTGTTTAACGGGATTTTATAGAGATTTATACAGACGAAGATCGAAAGATCGTTTGAAAAGTTACTTGTCTAGACTAACACCTCTTGTTTAAATATATTTTTTACCAAACTATACACAACAAAATACTTTTTCGTATTGTTTGAGCAAATAGTTCGGCCGTCACGCACAACAGTGGGTTTTGTTTTTACGAAGTTCCAAAGAAATTCCACATGGAAAATTGACTTAATTGCATTAAATGTACGAGGAATATGTTAATAAAAATTCTCCAATGCCTAAGTAAATGCGCTTTTGCTTTATTTTAATAAAATTTGGATTTGAATAAAAAAGACCACCATTTGGTAGGTAAAAAAGACGCCGATATGGGCGATTGACCACCAAACGGGGGTTTAATGACCATTTGGGGGTGTGTGCCCAACCTGTTTATCGTTGCTTGGTCAATGGTGTAATCAACTGCACTATTTTAAAGTTCAGCATGGATGCTTTAAATTTGTTTTATATAAATCAAATTACACACATAATTAATTTGTAAGACAGTCATCAGTTGATTATGGGACAAAACGGTAAATAGTTTGAAAATCCAGCAAGTGAAAGGAACACAAACCATCATTACGCAATATATGGCTGGAAGCTCAGTTCAGGCACTGACTTATACAGTTGACAGCTTACTTTGACATTTAAACCAGCACTAAGTAAGGAGATATAAAATTGATAAAAAAATAAGAAAACCTACATAATGGTTAGAGTTATGGTATTAGTAGTTAGAATAATCTAACTGTGTCTCGGTACAAGCCCTCACCACAGTTAGAATACCTCCCATATGCTCGCAATGTAGCAAATAATTGCAGAATCGCTCTGAAACGATTTTGAAGAATACAAAAGGATTTGCACATGAAATAACTTTGAAATTAATTGTAACAAACCTTTTTGAGATAGTATATGACATATCCTAAAAAATAATCCATAAAAAGACGAAAATCAACTACCGGTAATTTTCTCAACAGTTTTTCTCGCTTCAAATTTACCTGCCATGTTTACATTCAGAACTTTCGGGATTATTTGTAGTAAATGCAGTGAGTACAAGTTATCGCCCATGTTTATTTTGCTACATTGAGAATACACGGAACGAAATCTATTGTTAAACCGGGTCCGTAGGACATTTATCATTTTAACGATAGTACATTCTCTCTATGGTATTGGGGGCACTTCCATTATTTACAAGCATGTGGTGATTGGAGGTGAATAACATTTAAAATTCCTTATTCATGAGAGATAGTATCTCCTTTTGTTATTTTCTGAAGGAATCAAACAAAGAAAAATACATTTTAGAAGAAAAAACAGAATTTTAGGTGGGAAGGAAGGGGTTGGGAGTAGGATTATTTCCATTCCCATCTTAGACAACATCATATGGACTTTGAAATTGCCCATTATTATCATTTTATTAATAAGTACCGGGTAAGCTAAATATTCATACCTCTAAAGTCAGTAAAAGAGTCTCCATTATTTTCGTGGAGTAAGATCAAGCTGTCCAATTTCAGAGCTTCTTGCAAAAGTTCATTAATAAATGAACAGTAAAATTAAAATATTAGGATTAGGTATCTAATAAAGTGTAGTTGTTGAATATAATATTTTACAACAAAAGGTATATGTTGATAAGTGAAATTTTTAAATCATCTTATTAAAAATTCTTCAATCAGAAATTTAATTGAGAGATGGCAACACCTTACCAGAATATAATGGCTGGGACGCCAGCTGGACTTCATCCCATTCTACAGCAGATAGATCAGCTGAATGCTCTATACACAACCGTCCCTCCAACGAAAACAGCAGCGGGGCCAACATCCCCAACAGCAAACAAAGAAAACGAGGAACTGGTGAAGATGCAAGATGAAGGTGTACAAGAGGCTGTCAGGTAATGTACATTTTATCTCAGTTTTCATCACAAACATGTTAGAATATTGCTAGGATTATTTATGTCATATCTTAAATAGGCATTGCCTGCAGAACACCAGTATACAGTTGTTGACTGGGGTAGAGGGAAACAGTCCATATGTTGGACCGGGGTGCAAGATGTTGCCCGCGGCTAACAGCTTGAACCCAGTCCAACATATCAACTGTTTCCCGAGACTCCTGTCAACAATTGTTTTGTTATACTCCTTTGCCCAATGAAAAGATAACTCAGTTTAGCGTCATATGACGTCAGCGGGCAACAGTCTTTTTTAACAGTCTATTTTAACAGTTCTTGGGCCGCCAGTTGGGGAAAACAGTCGAACTGTTGGATTTTTCAAAGAAGAAATTATATAGGGACTGTTTAGTAGGGGTATAACAATATTCAATGTACTGTAATTTATATATTTGATTAAAATATGGTTTTAATTAAATCATGGTGATTTTAATTAGTCTTCATTTCTTTTAGTTCTGAAGTATTCTCAGTTTACCAGCATAGAGAAATAGTCAAAGGCTGCTGTCCACACCCGGGTGATATTGTGGAGGCCGGTCCTTTAGCTGTAAGTAACTACTAGTTTAAAAATATATAGAGATTAGACAGACAGAGATAGATATGAGTGCAAACAGACTAGGCCAAATAATGGAAGAGGGTTACATTTGATTTCCTTCTCCACTATTATTAACATAAAGTGATTCTAAATAAGAGTTTATTTTATTACATTTTCATTCATATACATACCCACTCTTTATTTTTGCAATATTGGCCCAAAACTTGGATGAGTGTGAAAAAATATTGAAAATTGATTTATACTTCAAATTAATCTTTGCAAGAAACGTAGTGAAAGTAAGCATCAATCTTGATTTACATATTTAATTAATAGGTACCTGTATTTTATATTGTTATTTTTCCTCACAGGCCCTGAATCAGCCCGACCCCACATACCCATTGACAGACTCCCTGCCAGAGGAGGTGATCAGGGAGGGAAAACTCAGCAGCTTACAATTAGAGGGAGTACTTTATGCTGTAGGTCTATATTTTTCTATAATACAGAAAATCATGTTTAGATCTATTTATAAAAGAATTGCATAAAATGATGTGATAAGGAGGATAGATTGTCTTTGCATTAGTACATTTGAACATGTGTAACATAATCCATATAAAAGAATACAGAGTAAATGTTTATATATGAATGAATGTGAAAGGCATGGATTCTTTTTTCAGGTCAGTGAAATGCATGAATCAGATATGATAAATGCATTAAAATGTTATATTCAATCTCTGAGTGATTAACAAAGTATGATAATATTGTTCTATGCAGTACCTGTGTAATATGAAAAATTATTTTTGGTTTTGTTTCCATAAATGATATCTTTGAAAGATTATATAATTTGAAAATGAAATGTTGTTGTGTGTGTGGCTATTATAATCTGGAACAATGTCAAGGCATTATCTATATGATTTAGTGTCAGCAGCATATGAGGATATTACCCAGTGGACAAAGAGCTGGCTTCTTTATTGGGGATGCAGCAGGTGTAGGAAAAGGACGACAGGTGATATGAGATTTCTCTTTACTCAAGGAAAAATGGAAAATGTACATAATTAAATTTAATCCTGTAATGCTGAATTTTTATGATACATGGTGAGTAATTAAATTTAAACCTTGAAATTTTACTACGTGTACATGTACTGTACATTCAATATTTTAAATTCAAGATTTTGATGCAACTACAGTGTACTTTAGGTTGCACTCAAAATTTTTGGGGGTAAGTTTTTAAGGTTTACAGTTTGCAGTAAATGTAAATACTGCACAAATAGTAATACACGACCATAAACAGTAAGACAATATCATGAATAGTGAAACCATATATTTATTACTGTTTCTTCATCAACATTATAAAATGTTGAAAGCTAATTAAGAACCAAAGCTAATAACTTTTTTGCTAAAATGTTGAATGATCTATCAATTGCAGATTTCTGGGATTATCTTTGACAACTATGCCAGGGGGAGAACAAAGCATATATGGTTCACCATTTCATCAGATTTAATTGTAGACAGCAGAAGGTAAAATCTGTACATGAGCATGTTGAAAATATATCTATAAACATTGTTGATTTCACTACAAGCACTTATTTTCATTTTTATTGCAACAGTATGATTGGTTTTCAGTTAGACTTTCACAATTTATACGTCCTGAAAATATTTACAGCAATATAATAGATATATATTCTGAATTGAAAAGTAGGATTTGTTAGATTTTCTGAATTTTAAATGTTTACATTGATTCATCAGATACTTTGAGCTTATTTTCAAAGACTTATCAAACATTCTGAATATTTTTGATGAATTTATCAAACTTACTTCCAGGGATTTGTCGGACATTGGTTGCCACGTGCGAGTTATTGATGGATGTCAGGAGTTGGACAGACAAACAAGGTTTTGAATTGTACCTGTATATCTGGTAGCTTTCTTAGTATAGAAAAGTGAATGGATCAAAGGAATGATTTGACATAATATAAATGTAGTCAAAAACATAAGAATTTTTTTTTTAATGGTTTATCGAAAATATCAGAATTATCGTTATGGATTTTAATTTTGAACCATTGTATTTTGTTTCAAATAATTTTTCCAGGTCTAATTGTCTAAGAAAATTCCTCAACAGTGCTGACTTTAAAAACAGAGTTGTGGAAGATAATTTTCATTTTCTTTTCACAGGGTGTTAGGGTTACCTGCAGACTTTAAAGAAGGAGTTGTGTTCAGTACATATGCTACACTGGTATCATCAGTTCAGAGAGGTTAGCAAGCATGGCTTTTTTATAACAATTTTGAAATAATACATGTACATGCAATCTTACTGTATATGTTCACTTAAGATTTTTACTGAAATGTTTTATCCATGTTCGATAACACTTTTTGTAGATATATATATGAAAAGGTACCAGAAATTAAAATTGAACTTTTAAGTCAGATTTTAATTGGTCTGAATCTACAATAGTAACTCATATAGATTTCTTCTAGATCAGATTAAATAAAAGAATTACACGCTTAGTTTGGACTTTCAGTAAGGCGTGGCATTCTCGACGTTGCCTAATTAGCTTCTGAAATTTACACAACTTTCCTTCACTGTTGAAATATACATATGATAGAAATGTGGCCGAATGTCAACTGGTGTAGTGAATAGCCAATTAAAAGTTCTCTCATGCCACAGAGGTGGGACATAAGTTGCCTTATCGTTATCAACAACAATTTTAATTTCCTGATGTTATTAATTTCGTAACCAATGAGAATCTACTAGTATTCGCCATTACGTAGGGCCGAGAAAGTCACGCCCTACTGCAAGTCCAAAGTAGGGGTAAAATCATCCTAAGTAGATTTATATACATGTATTTGCATTATATATTAGTAATTGATATAAGGACAATGAGAGTGTTTTCTTCTAGGTGTCTTCAATGGTTCAAAACAGAGTCGTTTACAACAGCTAGTGAACTGGTGTGGAGGGGAGGAATTTGATGGATGTCTGGTATTTGATGAATGTCACAAGGCCAAAAATTTTGTACCTGTAAGTAAAGAAAAAAAAAATGTGGGCGACTAATTGAAAATGCTGTCAGAATTTTTCTAGTGGTTAATTTTAATTGGAGAGAGATTATTTACTAAAGAGAGACGGAGTAATGTTGATTAAAAATGATTTTTTTTCATTAGGGCAAAGAGCAGGCTAGTACTAAGGTAGCTTTAGCTGTCACAACAATTCAAAGGTAAAAAAAACTACATGCTGCTATGTATTGTATACTGTAAATCACTTTTTATGTGCAAGAGCTTTATTTTAGCCTAATTACGTGAGACAGTGTGCTTGTGAAATTCAATTCTTGCGTATAATAGTATTCCTTAAGATTATATAGAGCAATAACCATAATTCCTGAAAATTTTGTCTTGCTTATAAATCAAGAGTCAAAGACTATCTCGTGAGAATAAGTTGTTGCGAAAATTGAGTGATCTACAGTACATATATACTAAAATTTGTAGGTTGAATTTCATGTAGTAGACTATTGATATGTAGAATGGTATATATTTGTGTATACACATATGTATTTGAGAGGTGGTCTTGTAGGTTGCTACCCAAAGCAAGAGTGCTTTACTGCAGTGCCACTGGTGTCACAGATGTCAAGAATATGGTAAGAGCTGCACACAGGAGGCTGTCATGTCATATGATAAGAATGTTAAACAATTGTTGAACACACACACTGTAAATATATTCATTGGCAAAATGTTAATATGTTACCAGACTTGTATTGAATTTTTCTTATATTGTTTTGAATGTATGTTTAATGAAAATTCTTGGATATTGATTATTTAATCTGAATGATTTATTTGTATGATAGACATACAATTTACGATTCCTCATGAGAACATGGTGCTTTGTAGGCATTTATGGAGAGGCTAGGCCTGTGGGGTGTGGGGGCCCAGTTCCGATCCTTTGAACAGTTCATTGAGTTTGTTCAGAAGAAAGGGCTGGGAATGGCAGAGATGTTGGCCATGGAGATGAAGATGTCGGGAATGTATGTGTCCAGGGGACTGAGCTACAAACAGGCCGAGGTAGGAATGGAGAACAAAGTGTTGAACAGAGTGGAAATTAGATGATCTTGTAGAAGAAATAGAGATTTCTCCTGTTATTTATTTTAATTTGATGTCATTTAAAGGAAATTTAAGCTTTTAACATGTTTAATTGAAATTAAATTCTTGAACATTTTTAAAGTACAAGATAAGTATTTTTACTGAATATACAGTATTTGATTATGAAAATATTGAATATTTTTTAAATCTTTTTGCATAATGAAATAAAAAAAAATGAAAGAATATTTTGTAGAATTAAAGTTTTGAAGTATTGATGGTTTGAATATTTTAATTTGCATCTGAAGGCTAGTAGTTATTATGAATTTATTGATTGTGTTATTTTTATTAACAGTTCTCTACTGTGGAAATCCCCCTCACAGAAGAGCAGAGGAAGATCTATGATACAGCTGCTCATGTCTGGTCTGTTATTTCATACATAATGTGTTTTTCTTGTGAAGAAAAATTGAAAATAATTATTGGTGAAATGAGTACAAATTAAGACTATAATGATAGGAAGTGCAAGAAAAATCTCAATTTTAGATTTGTATTTGGTTTTATAAATTATTTAGATGCTTTTCTAGTGATTTATGTTATGTTGGGCTTTTAGAAGTCGAATTTTCTAGGGATAGAACTAGTGTTACCTTTATGTAAATAGATTTGTCTGTATTTAGAATGGACTTTATCTTTCTAGGAATGAGTTGAAGAAGGCCCTGGAGAGTGCTATAGTGAGAACTAACTACAGTGGCAGCAGGATCTGGTCACAGTTCTGGTCATGTCATCAGAGATTCTTCAAACACCTCTGGTCAGTTTTCTTTGGAGTAATCTGTTATGTGATAAGAGCTCATATCACATTACACTGCGCCTGTGCTGTGAATGTAGAATACATGTATCTGATACATGTATCATTTCCTATGTGCAGATAGAATAAAACAAGCAAACAGATACCTGGTAATTTTGAAAACAATATTGAAATGATAATTATATTCTCTGTTGATCTGTGTAGAGCTTTCATTTCAAATTCAAGTTTTTATATGAGATGTAATTAAGACCATGTTAACCACAAAGTGTAACTATTTTAAATATAGTACAAGTTTCTGACATGTATGTAGAAATTTAAAGTATTTGACAAAATTGGGATAATGGGAGTTGAACTTGGAGGTTTTCATGCAGTGTTTAATTTGATTTTAGATTTATTGACAAAATGAGAATATCTTATGCAATACTCAAAGTACATGTACCTATAAAGTTCTTGTTTATATTTCTTGTAGTATTGGTATGAAGATACCCACTATTGTCAAAGAAGCCCAGACAGCTCTAGAAAATGGATGTTGTGTAGTTATTGGACTACAAAGCACTGGAGAGGTACGGCTTTTGCAAATTGAAATAATCTTGGTACATATTTTTTTAGGGAAATATTTCATTTTTTCCACACTGTTTAGTGACATATATTTTAACCTCATTATAATTATATATGCATGTATAGGTGTGTACTGTGATCTATACTGATCATGTTTTGAACAAACTATGCTATGTCTTAAAAGTACATGCCAGTCTCTCCCTTCGAGGACAATTTTTCTCTTCACTATGCCACCTCAAAATTCATTGTAATATAGATGCATCTTCTTAAAATTTTCAATGTTTTGAATATTTTATATGTTCATGGGACAGTTGTGAGCTAAGCATTTACAAATTCTTAACAACAATTTGAATATTTATTTTCTATTTACTGAATGTCAATCCATAAACAAATGGAAGTTGATAGCAGACCTGTGAACACCTTACATTTTGTGGGTCACACCCACACATATCGGACCATTACCTTCCACTACTGATTTCCTGCTGTGTGTCATCATTATTTTGGTGCAGAATATCAGATTGGTTATACTACTGACATAAAGTTTCACAAAATAAGCTTTGCTTTTTTAGCTCACCTCAACGAAGTTGGGGGAGCTTATGTAATACCCTCGGCGTCGGCGTCGGTGTCGGCGTCGGTGTCGGCGTCGGCGTCCCGGGTTAAGGTTAAGTTTTTTGGAGCAGTTTTCTTTTTAAGTACTTCTATGTCCTATATTGATTAGACATGCATGGAAGATGGTTCTAGTGTGTTTCATTGTACCAGTCAAAGTTTCAGATGCTGCAATTTCAGCAAAGGAATGACCAGGTTAATGTTTTGGAGCAGGTTAACATTTTTGGTGCAGTTTTTGGTGTAGGTTTCATTTCCAAGTAACTATAAGCCCTATGTTGACCAAACTTGCATGGATGATACATCTAAGGATGCATACTACCGGGCTTGCTTCGGATGCTGATTCTGACCTACATTTTCCGGTTGAGTGAACAGGTTAAAGTTTTTGGTGCAAGTTTCATTTCCAAGTAACTATAAGCCCTATGTTGACCTAACTTGCATGGATGATACATCTAAGGATGCATACTACAGGGCTTGCTTGGGATGCTGAATCTGACCTACATTTTCCGGTTGAGTGAACAGGTTAAAGGTTTTGGTGCAGGTTTCATTTGCAAGTAACTTTAAGCCCTATGTTGACCAAACTTGCATGGATGATACATCTAAGGATGCATACTATAGAGTTTGCTTTGGAATCTGAATCTGACCTACATTTTCCGGTTGAGTGAACAGGTTAAAATTTTTTATGCAAGTTTCATTTCCAAGTAACTATAAGCCTATAAGGTTGACCAAACTTGCATGGATGATACTTCTAAGGATGCATACTACCGTGCATGCTTCGGATGCTGAATCTGACCTACATTTTCCGGTTGAGTGAACAGGTAAAAGTTGTTGGTGCAGGTTTCATTTGCAAGTAACTTTACGCCCTATGTTGACCAAACTTGCATGGATCATACATCTAAGGATGCACACTTCCGGGCTTGCTCGGATGCTGAATCTGACCTACATTTTCTGGTTGAGTGAACAGGTAAAAGTTGTTGGTGCAGGTTTCATTTCCAAGTAACTATGAGTTCTTTAATGACCAATCTTGCATGGATGATACATCTAAGGATGCATACTACCAGGCTTGCTTCGGATGCTGAATCTGACCTACTTTTTGTGGATGAGTGAAAATGTTAGTTTTTGATGCATGTTTCATTTCCAATTAACTATGAGCCCTATAATGAGCAAATTTGCATGGACGATACATCTTTGGATGCACACTAATGGACTTGCTTCGGATGCTGAATTCGACATACATTTTTCAGATAATAGACCAGGTAAAAGTTATGGGTGCAGGTCTATTACCAAAAAACTATAAGGCTTATATAACATTGTATAAACCAAACTTGCACAAATGTTGCATCAAGAGATGAAAACTCTCAAATTTGCTTCAGATGCTGGATTTTGATTACATTTTCATGAAGAAGAACTAGTTTAAATTTTTTATGTAGGTTATTGCAAAGTATCAGATCAAAATTGCTTAAATATTTTCATATTTGGAATGTACACTTTTTGTTGGTTAATTGTGTGACTTTGCCTTACTTAAAGACAACATTCGTTGAGGTGAGCTCTGTAATCTCTGATTACCTATGTTTTAGGCTTCATTTGAAAGTGAATTCAGCAAGAACAAAGGAAAAGTTTCAGGATTTGTCTCCCTTTGTAAGGAGATCTTCACTAGATTCATCACTCAACATTTTCCAATCATGATAGAGAGCCAGGTAGTATTTCTTGTTTAAAGGATTTTTAGCCTTGCATACATAAGCATTCCATACTGTAAGAGATACATGCACAAATCAATATCAATTATAAAAGGTGGTATAACATGTTCAATTAAACTGTGATTAATAGTAGATCTTACTGTGAAAATTTGTACTGATAGCTGTATAATAAAAGCATTCAGCAAAGTGAAATAAATTTTGAAAGTGTCTTGCCTATTTATGTTTTGTTTTATACTCCTTTAAGAACAAGGATGAGGTTTTAGTGGATGAATGGAGCAAACAGGCCAGGGATCTACTATTGGGCTTTGCTGAGAAAATTAACTTACCAAACAGGTATAGATAAATTAAGTGAAATTGGCTATTATTTTAAGACTGAATCTCCCTGACATCAGGTTGTACTTTGTGTGACATAGAAATTTTTAGGGATGAAAAGAGAACTTTTATAAATATTGATTTAAAATTGTTGATCA